CCAGGAGGGTCTGCATCTGTGCCTTGCTTTACTCCTGTGATGAAATGAGTACTGCTGGCTGTGCCTGCCAAGTGCATCGCGCTGGTTAAATAACGAACAGATGTCAAACGCTTTGGGCTTCTCAAATATGGAAAAAAAAAAAAAAAAAAAAAAAAAGCTGTAGGAGTGTTGTTGTATTCAGAAATCTTCACAGAACTGGCAGGTGAATGTTAGGAAAGCAAGTCCTGATAAAGACTGGTGACTCTTAATTCCTCATTAAAACATTTGCTTACAGATCTAAGTTCTTCTGAACAGTTGTTTTGAAGTCATGGTAATGGGTACATTTGACTCATGTAATGTTTAACTTGCAGTTTTCTATTTGCCCAAGGTTTCGAAAGTATTATAAGATCAAATATGTGTTGTGGGAGAGAAGAATTCAAACAATATTTGAATTCCATCCAGGCTCCAGGAAGACACAAGACTCTTGTTTATCTATTAAAAAATAAACTTTTGCAACAATATTCTGTTCACTACTAGTAACTGTATGATAATAAATTATATATTTTCTCTTAGGAAGTTATCAAGTCTCTGAAAGTCAGCATTATGCATGAAAAACTAACCCTACATAGTGACATCTGCAGAACTGTTAAATAATTATTTCTGTATTAATGTGCTTGTGCTGATTTTGTGGGCTGAGCTGCAAAGGGACAATGCCGTGTAAGCTTTAATGAAGAGTTGCCATGCAAATGACAGCAGAAACATGGAAAGATACATTCCCTTTGGTGGCCTCCGTGAGTGCTTACATGCATCCTCACTCACATGGCAGCAGAAGGGACAGCAGCAGGAGCAGTGCTAGGGCAGCCTGAGCCAGCAGGCTGGGGCTGGCAGCAAATCACTGGGGACCAAATCTGCCCCCAGCCCACTGAGAGGAAACCTGTGGGGACACCACTGCACCTGCACCCTGGGCAGCTCCAGACGTAGGGGGTTTTAGGCTTGGGGACAAGAACACATTTGTGGGCTTGCAGGTGCTTGGTTTAAGACATCAGTAGTGAGATTGTCTATTACAGCCACTGGGGTGATGGGAAGGTGGGTGTTTAAGTGCTCTTCCTATTTCTTAGAAAGCCAGACAAGCTCAGCAGCCAGTGTCTTCCTCTGTAAGTCCCCCAGCAGCTGCAGCAGAAAGCACTGCCCACATCCGCCGAGGAGCAGGGTGTTGTTACCTCTCTGTGGGGATGGAGCTCCTTCCAAAACATTGGCTGGGGAACCTAGTGCTGCCATCAGCTCTCCTTCACACCTACAGAACACTCCTCTGGCTGCTGCTGTCAGGCGAGCAGCAGCTGCAGGGTGCCCTTGGTCTGCTATCAGCTGGGCATGAGCTTCTTTCTCCTGCACCAGGAACAAATCTGCAAGGCTTCAGCTTGCAGTGCCACAGCCCACAATCCCGCGCACGTATGGCACGCTTCCACGGTGCTTGACAAATTCTTAAAGCCTCTTGATAAGAACTTGCATTCCCATAGTGTTTGTTGTAATTCCTCTCACCTTTCCACTGGACTAGGTAGAGGTATGTAAAACAAACACCAGTGGGTTCTGCTTTTCTCTTGGCAGCTATGGTGTAGCCCTGCCTTCTACTTGTGCACAGCCTCAGTCGCTGCTCAGAGGATGTGTGCCCTGTGCTCTCTGTCCTCCAGCAGGCTCCCCTTGGGAATGGGTGTTGGAGGTGTGATGTCCTTCACACAGCAGCTGGCAGAAACTCCCTCCTTACCCCACAGGGAACAGTGGAAGCACTCCCTTTCAGCCAGAATGGAAACAGGTTCAGACCTCCAGCCTGCAGCTTGTTTATCTGCAGCTCAGTAACAAACGATGCCACAAAGCCAGTGCTGGAAGCTCCCCAGTGCTAGTGAAACTCCAGGCCACCCAGGAGCCAGGCAGCCAGATCAGTCAGCAGCCGCTGATGAGGTTTCCTGGTGGTATTGCTCTATGTCGCCATACAGCACATGTAACACAGGGCCTCCCAGAAGATGTCATGACCCCCTCACTATGAGGAGGTATTATGTTGATTTTCATGGGGGAAATGAGGATGCAGGAAAGGGAGCGGAGCTAATGACTGAGGGTGGTTGAGGGATGCTCATCAGCTCACCGCCAGAGATACACAGATGTCAGTAAGACTTCTTCCCTGCCGGGGGAACCTCCTGCAGCAGATACATTTCTTCTGCCTGAAGTAGAGGATAAATGTAGTTTTCTCTGCCCTTTTTTTGAAAGTACAAAGCACATGTGTAGAGTGGCAGAACTAACACTGAACAGGGATGTCCTGGTGCGAACATATCTAGCCACTGTAGTAAACCTTCTTTCTGAAAATCTTTTCAATTCAACACGGAGTGACAGAAAACTGTCTGGTTGTGTTGCAGCTGATTGCCCTCGATATGTTACTCGTTGTAGGCTAATTGCATGAGATTGTTTTGGTACTGCAGACATGCTGAAAGACTGAACTGCGGATTAACCATGCATCAGATACCTGACCTGACTTGCCATCATCCCAAAACACTTCAGTGTTTGTCTTGCCAGCTGACCGGGAGAGCAGGAGGGACGCCTCGCGTTTTTATGGGCTTACATCACATCTTGAAAGTTGCTGCCCTCTGGTGAGTCAGCATAAAAAGGCAATCATACGAGCCTGATCATCCAATCATCTGGATGGAGGAGAATGTGCTGCCTCTGTCAGCAGGCTTGTTGTAACTAATTCTCTTCCTGTGTCAGGGAATTTTGAGAACGCGGCAAAGAGCCTTCCGTAAATCTCCACCTGTTTTCTGGGACTGCAACTTCATTTGCTGCTCATAGGTTTTCCAATCTGTATTGGTGTGTGTTACCTGACCAGCCCTTTCCAGGAGTGTTATCACTGGACTGGGGCAGGAACATCTTTTTGCTGGCTGCTCACCCTGCTTGAAGTCTCCTTCATGCCTGGAGCACCGGAGCCTGCTCCAATATGAAGCGTGGTGGTGGGGATGATGCTCTTCTTTTGGACAGTATGGAAGTAGTTCCATAATTCCTTTAATTCCTTTGCTGGTAGGAAAATCCAGAACTTCAGAGAAAGAGGAAAACAAGTTTTTTTTGTTTTGTTTTGTTTGGTTTGGTTTGGTTTTTTCCCCCCTTTGGTATTTTTTCTGTGCTTTGAAGACTAGAAATGTGTCTTGCTTCTCTTAAACAGCAGGCTGCCATAGCTCTTCAGATGCAAATCAAGATTTATATTTTGAAGGCCTGTTCTCTTTTTGGCTATGGATTTTACTAGTGGGAAAAAGATGAGATACTGCTTGTCGGAATGATTGCAAATAGCCATCTCTTAGGGTCATTGCTACATCAAAGGGGCAGAGCATCTCTTTGTTGTGGTTGGCATCATGCACCCTGATGATTTCTGCAGCAAACACAGCTGAGAATGATTTGCTGTCACTGCCTAAAATATTCTATGATACATCCCAACACTTTCCTCTTTGTTCCCTCCCATCTACTGAGGTGTAACTCTCAATGAAAATCCTAAATATAGAAGCAAAGAGAATACTGTACATCTGAGGATAAAGAGGGAAATTACAACCTGGAAACCACACAAACAGTCCGACTTGACTTTCTGATTTCAATTTGATTTCTGCACTAAGCTCACAGTTACCTTTCAATCTGTCTGTGGAATGATTAGTTTTATTTACCAAAAAGCTTTTATCAGCAGAAGAGCAATCACTGCCTTAGTGGACAATCATCCCAATCATCCTTTTAAAAAACATACATCTTTATTGCAGGCCTGTTTCTGTTCAGTTTTAATTCCCAGAGATTAAATGACATTATATACTTTTACTTGTTTAATTGAAATAAGTGTATAGCATTGGAAATGTCCCACAAACATAGGTACTGACTGGTTGTGATCAAATCACCATTTAAGTTTTTATTGCATTAATCTGTGACATTTCACAAGTGCCTTTACAGAAGGAAAAATTTCAAGATTAGGATTGTTCTTGTGGCTTCTTTGCCAATATCTACTTTGAAGCACAGACATCAGGACTGGACAGAGATTTCTAGGAACAATCTGCAACAGCTGTAATATTTGTAAAAGTAACACAGAGACTTAGCTCTTGTTAACAGATCTCACTGACTTTTGGTGAGACACGGTCTCTGCAGCATTTTGGGTACTTTTATTCGTAAGAGTTGGCACCACCATTTTAATGCAACCATAGCTTTTTCAGCTGTATATGCCCAGGATTTAGGAAAGCCTCCAATAGACAGCTGCTGTCAGTCTGACAAGAATTAGACATGGAAAATGAAAGGGACTGGGGAAGGTTTTATTATTAGATTCATCCGTTCTCAGGGAAAAAGTGTAATCACACTACAACGAGTATCTAAGACAAGTGGAATCAGTTGCATTCTGAAAGTGACCATCTCTGAACACAAATAACCAAACAGCTCTGTTAGCCTCCTTTTCTCATTTTTAGGTGGCTGAAAGTGAGAAAAACCCTACATAAAGATGCTGTGTTGTTCTGTTATTTGAACAGGACCACAGCTTTATGTCTGGTGGTGGTGTTTCTCTGTCACTGGTGGGAACAAGATGAGCATGCATCATCCCACCCCTCTGGACAGCCGTGGGGACTGGTGTGCACACAACAGAAACCAGTCTACGAGCAGGGAGCATACCCTGGCATTGTGCCGGTACCCAGGAGGCTTTGTTTGCCTGAGGGTGCAAGACTTGCAAAAGGATTTCTCCCTCAGATAAATCCCTGTCCCCTCTTTCTGCACCACGACACTTCAGGCACAATAGCCCTGCCCAGCAGAAGGCTCTCCAGAAGAGTGCAGGGAGCAGGTTATTTTTATTTCAAATGCATCTCCACAGCAGTGTGAAAGGGAGGACTTCTGCTGAATAGACAGGAAGGAAAGGAGGTTTGGCACAGGGCATTATCCCAAAGCACTTCTCAGCTGTGCCATTAACCACTTGGTGGCTGTTTTATAACAGCCCCCTCCCCTTCCTGTCTGAATGCAGCCTTCCAGCTCACCTGAATCTGCCACTGTTTCTCACAGACCCGGGCTCTCAGCTCCTGCAGTGTCTGGGAGGCTCCAATCAGTCATTCTGCAGATAAGTCTGAACGGGCTCCTGGCAAAGGTGTATCCCCACAGCTTCTCAGGACGGTTGTTGCTCCAGGGCAAGGGCACAGACAGGTGTGCCACGAGGGTATCAAAGGGCAAAGCATGGATGTTGAAATCTCTGGAAATGGGCCTCTGTGCCCTGCTTCTCACAGCATGTCAGACACAGCATGCTGAAGAAGCTTCATCCCTTTGTGGTTCTCTAGGCAAGTGGTGTTAAACACTGGGATGACTTCACTGTTCTGCATCAAAAAAAAAAAAAAAAAAAAAAACTGGAACCAGCTTTGTCTGGAAGCTCCACTGAAGATCTCATCTCTCTTTGAAAGCCTCTGGGATCTCTCTTTGCAAGGCTGCTGGACCTGAACAGAACAGCAAGTGTGTGTGTGTATTTTTGGCCAGAGGGTCTCTCAAGCCACCCTAACCATGAGAAACATGGTGATCAGCAAACCGCGTGTAAAAGCCTGTGTTTGCTTTTCATAGTCAGTAGTGGTATTGTGGCCCATTTTTATTTATTTATTTTTTTTCATGAAAAAAAAAAAAACATAGCAAAATATATTTTCAGCAAAATATATTTTCAGCAAAACATAGAGGCTGTCCTCACAAGAAACTTTCAATTCTTTGAAAGCAAACCCTGCCAACAGTGCTGTGAGGAGCTTCCTGGTTGAGTTTTTGCTATCTGAGAACATCAGGGTAGGTCACCTGTTGAGTATGCAGCACACATGGGATAGACCCTCAACCCTTTCCTTCCTTAGAAGTGCAGGTGACGCCCAATCACTCAGCAAACAAGGCAGGAGCACTGCTGGCAGTGTTGCCTGCAGCAGCTGCAAGCTGGGCATGCATACAGTGGTGGCTGCATGCAGTATATTCCTCTCATCATATGGACAAAATTACAGGTACCAATACTCAGTAGATTTAAAAATTACTAGTATCAGAGTTTGAACCTTGCATGTGCTCCCAGTGCACTGAGTAGCAGAGATGTTCATTTTCAGAAAGTTTGCATTCATGATTTGAAGAATGCTTACTATTTCATCCCAGTGAATAAATGCTTTGTTTGCTAGCAGATCAAAGATATTCCACAGCAGATTTCTTTCCATATTGTATGAGAAATTGTGGTTACAGACCACCAGCATTCATTGGCCGTCTACCAGCCATTCTTTTATGGCTATTTGGCAAAGATACTGGGAAGAGTACATAGAGTTTGCTGCTATTGGCAAATTCCTACTCCATCCTATTAAGTGTGGATAGGACATGAAAGTAGGTGGTAATAAATGCAATATGTAGATGCATTAAAGCTGGTCTTGAAAGGAACTGAGTTTTTAGAAAAACAAAACAACCAAAACAAAATCCTATCTGAGAATTTAACAGTATTATTGGGTCTAAAATATTTGAGACTGGCCAAAAAAGTAACCATACACTTGGTGTTCTTCAAGAGCCACTGGGAGCTTAACCAGAAATCTACTGGGCATAAATAAGTAAGTAGATAGTTAAATAAATAAATTATTAAATAAAGACCCACAGAAAATGGATCCTCCATGGTTCATATCTTGTAATCTCCTTTACATAGAATTAGAGGTAGTTGCCAACCTGCCTAACCATTCTGCCTTGGCATGAATCACATGCCTCTTTTTGTGGCCTGGGGATGGTGTTTGGGGAAATCCTGTTGCTCCTAAATATGTGTGTTCATCTCTGTTCATGGAATGAAGGATCACGCTGTTCAAACACTGAATATCTTTTGGAGATGGGATGAAGAGTAGCACCCCTCCAAACACAAGACACAGGCCAGTGCTGCTGCAGTGTTTGTCAGAGCCTCTGGAATGCCAATTAACAAACTTCAACCTCATTCCTGCCACAAAACCCATGTTTTTGAGTGGTCAGGGCAGGAGACCAGAGACAGAAAACCTCTGTCAGTTGGTGCTGTTTCGTATGTAGTTTTGGGGTATTTTGGTTAATCCCTGCAGCCAGATGAGTCAAGATTCTGACAATAGGGACAAAGTCCTCCCGACAGGAGGACCGAATACCTCAGCTAAAGCCTAGCTGATTGCTTTGCTACAGCCATCCTGTGTGACAGTCAGATGGCCCACACAGAGGATGTCACTTCTGTTTGGGGCAGTGTTTAGGAAGACCGACTATCTGCAGGTGAGGACCCTGGAGGATGCATCTGGAAGGATGAGACTGCCTGGCCACAGATGGGATCATGGTGGCTGCTTTTGAGAAAGGAGTGAGGTTTCAGGCACACCATTCCACATGGTGTTTGCCAACCTACAGATGGTTTAATGCACAGTGGCTTGTCTCATTTTACTGCCTTCTCTGGGTATTAACACCTCTGGTGCACAGTGCAAGGACCTTTCATTGCTGGCTCTGGCCTTCTAGGTTTCACTCCAAGGACCAGAAACTGAAGCATTAGGTGGCTCAGCATCTGGCTTGAAGTTACTGGTAACCTTAGGTTCAATCCAGCCTTGAGGAACTTGGCTGAATTAGGAATTCAGTCCAAATTCCTCTTGTTCAGGAAGATAGGTTTATGCAAATGTAGGATGAAAATAACCTCTTTTACTCACCGAGTTCCACACTGTGTTTTCACCAACACTGAAAGAAAGATTCAAGAGGTCAAGTCTCTGTCAGGTGCCTGAGAAAGGCCTGACAACACCTGCCTCCCACTTTGCCTCTTCCCATTGGGAAGAATATACACTGGAAGATGTTAGAAGAAAATGCCAAGTGAATCTGCAGCTTGATCAAGTGTGCCAACATTAAATATGTGGTCACAGTTCAATCTCTTGGGTGGAAGAAGGAATTCTATACAATAAGGCAGAGATTTGCCCAAGTAATATAGGGGGTTCTCTTGAAATACTTCAAATATCTCCTTATGTCATTTTCCTGTTGTCTTCAACTAGTTTACTGAGTATTTTTCAAAGATTAAGAAATGTCTACTGCTTCCTGTTCTTCAGGTAACAGTGAACTGCTTGGCTGATTGCATAAAATATAAAGATTTACATTCCAAGTGAGAATAGAACCTCCAAAGAGACTAGACAGCCTCTTAGAAAACGTTTTCCATCCTCTCTCACACCCCACTAGCAGGTGTCAGAAACTTAATTTAGTGAAAACAGAGAAAGCTTCTGGTGTAATATTGAAAGTTCAGTTTCTTTGACACTGGACAATCTTACTCAGGACTTAGCATTAAGAGTTTCCTTAGGAAAATAAGCATAAAACTGGTCAGTCAGAAATCGATGTATAGCTTTTTGTTATAGCTTTTTGGAACATGACAATGTCACCTTTTACAAGAAGGACAGGAGAAAAGTCTTAAAAGCGTGTTTTGAGCCATGTCTGTGAAGGTGATTAGTTTCATCTCTCCCAAATAGTCCTGTGGCAGGGCTGGGATAAATTTAATGTTGTAGTAAGTTGATGGCTCTTGCTTGACATAGGATATGAGTCATTATACCGTTCTGGCAACAAATAGGTTTAATCCTGGGAACTGTGATTAGCTAATCAAGGAAGGATTTTCTTGTTGCTTTTAATGACATTGCTATATGAAACTTGAACTAGCATGTTACTACTGTCAGACTGTTTGAAAAAGCAGGTGACTATGGGTGGGGTGTGAAAAAGAAAGTCTAACAGGTTGCTGATACAATGGCATTTTAAAAACACCTTACCAAGCCTGGTGATTTTTACTCTTGGGCTTTGTAATGTATCCCACTGAAACCACACATAATTCTTGCTATATAATTCTTGCCTCTTAATAACTTTGCAAAGAAAGAAAGAAGGAGAGAGAGAGACAGAGAGAGAGGAAGGGAGGAAGGGAGGAAGGGAGGAAGAAAGGGAGGAAGGAACTAAGGAAGGAAGGAAGGAAGGAAGGAGAAAATTATCCATAGCATGATGCAAGTCTTCCCATCAGAGAAGGTGCTAGTCCCTGCTCTCAAGACTGTACAAGCAACCATACTCTGAATCTCTATTTGAAGACCTTCACTCAGTGTCCTGGCAATGGTCAATATACAGAGGACTGAACAGTTTCTACACAACCAAGAATTATGTGCTCTGCATAAGAGTGATCTTTCCAGGTTGCCTCTCCCCAGACTCTCCTCTCAGCATGTGTGAACAAGTGTTGTCCCAGCCTACAAGTCTTTGTTTGTCCCAGACATAGCTGAAGGTGCCACCTCTGCCAGATGCAATTTGTTCAGGAAGGAGAAAATAAGTTCCCGTAAGAAATTACAGGCAAAGAAATGCAGAGACACTAGAAATGGCTGTAAAAAGCAGCTAACCTCATGGCTAGAGGTGTGCAGGGGGTGTTCTGGTTAGACATTTGCCTTGGTTGTTTGCTATGAGAAGGGGAAATGGTAAGTTTTTTGGCATGGAAGATTTTAGTGTGTATGTTTGGAAATTTTTCATCCAAATGAGAAAGAGGCATCCATCTCAGACATTTCTACTTTCACAGCTATAGATAGGCTTCTTCCATGTACTTTAGCAGGAGATACTGCAGATGATCAGCCAGTGGCTATGACCTTCACTTGAGGCATGGGGAAGTCTGCTTTTCTCCAGCTCAGAGCTAAGCCAGACAAAAACTGAGTCCAGAGCTCACAAATTCTCAGTGAACGAATGCTCTGGAAACAGGTACTCAGTAATATCAGATGAACAAATTTCCATCTCTGTTTTATACTGAGTGAAGGGAGAGTGATTATTCTTAATAAAAACGTACATAAATAAACAAAACCCCAAACTTATTTGCTTTCTGGGGAAATGTGGCTGGACTTTCATGTTTACAGGTTCTGAGGAACACAGTCTTCCTTACAGTAATTACCCTTAGGATCTTTCCTCAGGTAAATGTTTCAAATGTGTTGCAGCCAGTCAGTATACCTGGTACACCTGTCATAAAGATAAGCACTGGAATTAAAATGCCTATCTGGGTTATTATCTGATAAAACATTTCTTGGTTCAATAAACTGAATCACAGTTACTTTCTCTTTATTTGTCAGCTGATTGCAAGCTGAGGAGATAGTAGGCAGCAGGAATGAGGTTGAACTGTGAACTTTTCCTTTATTGCACAGAATAAGCTCTCCTTGACTGGTTTGAACCTTCTCTGTCTCTCGGAGTCATTTCAGGATGCAGGCACAGTGTTTAGGAGTATCCCTTACACTCCAGTGTCTGAACATGGTTCCTTCATCTGCAGAGCCACTGGGGGTAACACGACTGCAGGCTCCTACAGAGCGTGTAGGAACAGCCCTTTTGTTTGAGCTCTTCTTTAGAGTCAGACAAATGTGCCCCCATTATTAATATCCAAACAGCAAGTTACAACTGCCCCTGCAGCAAGGACACGTCACCATTTCAAAACAAACAAACAAAACAAACAAAAAAGCATCATAATTGGGGTTATGCCTACCATGAGCTGTTTCACACATCATTTATTTTTTATTTGTGTGTGTGTGTGTGTATGTGTTTGTTTTGTTTGTTTGTTTGTTTTTGTCTGAGAAAGATGCTTCTCTTAAGACTATTCCCACTCAACAAAACCCTTAAGTGTCTTGTAGAATAAAATATTCTTGTCTCTGTATGAAATTCAGGGCAGAATCACTGTAGAAATACCTGCAGCATGAAGATTAATCTTTGTTCTGGAGATTGTTTTGAAAGGCAGCCCTTGCTGTTAATTCAGGGGGATGACAGCTGCCTCTCTGCAGCAGGCACTGGCAGCATGGGCTGCCATGTGCAGGCTTCTGAGGCCATATGGACATGTTAAAGTGCTCACACCTGGACAAGGTATCTGGTCACAACCACGTCAAACTGCCAGGGAGACTTGTGGTTTTCTGAGGTAAGTTGCCCCTTCAGGCAATTTACCTCAGTCTGGTGAAAGTGATGAGATGTGTCTCTTCTGAATCTCAATCATATATTTCATGTGGGCATTTCAAGAGCAGGGGAGGGGACAAGCAGGCTGTGTCCCTCATCAGGAATGAAAGACAGGGTCTCTGCAGACACCCTGCAGAGGCAAAAGCCCAAGCTACATAGTAGAGGAAGGGGACAGTTAGAGGCCATGTGTGGCCAAGGGGCATCTTGGAGACCCTCAGGCTAGGAGGGGCTATAAGCTTGTGCCCTGTGCCAGCAGCAGGCAGACTTCTCCTTTTGCCTGCAGATCTAATGATCTGCACATGGAGGGGAGCAATCAAAGTACCGGAGGGCAGGAGAGCTGTGCAGAGGGACCTGGACAGGTCCAGCAGAGGGTCCCTATGATGGCCAGGGCCGGAGCAAGGGCATACAAGGGAAAGTAAGGGATTCTGGGCTGGTTCAGCCTGGGGAAGAGGAAAGGAAGGGGAGACATCACTGCTGTCTGCAGCTGGCTGCTGGGAGGGACCCGAGAAAATGGAGCCAACGCCTGCTCAGTGGAGATCGGCGACAGGATGAGGAGGTAATGGGCACAACCTGGAACATGGGAAATCCCCATTAGAAAAAACTGTGAGAGTGATCGGATATTGGAACCAGGCCCAGAGAGGATGTGAAATATCTGTCCTTGGAGAAGATCAGATTTGACTCAACAAGTCTCTGAGCAGCCTGATCTAACTGGATTAACTCCAGAGAGCCCTTCCAATCTGAATCCTTCTATGGTTTTACAAAAATCATTTTTAAGAAAAAAAAATAGTTGCCTTTTAAAACTAAATAATTACCTCCCATAGGTTTCTGTACATGGCTTTGATTTTTTCTTTTTTAATCTTTTTATGTGTTTTTAAAAAATCTAAGTGATACCATCATATTTTTGCAAATGTTTAAAACTGTGCTTATATATATATATGTATAAAGAAAAGAAGACCATTATTACTATTGTACTTATCCACATTGTTACTACAATAGTTTCTTAAAAGCAGTGTCCAGTTACCACTTAAATTATCATGCAGTAATAAACTATGGCATTTAAATTGTCTTGTTATTTAGGACTATAAGCCATACATTGGAACATAACTGTGCAAAAAGATGTAAAAAATAGTCCAAGAAAGACATTCTATTCTGTCTATTAAAAGCTCCTCACCAGGAGCTTTTGAGCTAACAGAAAAAATATTTTTGTATTCTTATGTGTTTTGAGCTTTGTTCTTTTTTTTCTTTTTTTTTTTTCTTTTTTTTTCTTTTTTTTTCTTTTCTTTTTCTTTTTTTTTTTCTTTTTTTTTTTCCCCACTGAAATTTTCAAGATAGACCAAGCAAGAGAGAGAGCTAATGTGAAATGGAAACACAGAAAAAGAAAGATATGTGGACTTTCTGTATCAAAGGAGTAACTCTGCTCATTGCACACCTCCAGACAGAAAACAAGACAAAGCAAATCTTTTATTTGTGTCAAAAATAAAGTCACATGAGTAAATACTTGTGCTGACCATATAACAATGACTTACATGTAAATACATAACATTTTCTAGAGAATTCAGTATAAAAATACCTCTTGTATCATGAAATAAACTACCATTCCAGAAGCCTAGCATTCTTTTAGGCAAGTCATAGCAAATTGCTGGGCCACCTTCTCAGGTAAGGGGGGCAAGAAATTTCACCATCTCTGCCTCTCACGCAGTTTAAAGCATCTCTCCCCACTGCTTGTTAATTTCCATTCACCTGGAAGAACCACTCAGCAAGTTTCAATAGCTATATTTCACCCTTTGTGTGCAGCCTGAAATTGCTTTGGACTGCACCCTTCACTCAGGTAAAGTGATTCAGCTTTCCAAAAAGTGGTTCGCCTGTTAACTGGTAACTAGAGAGTGTTGGTCACATAGCACTGGGGGAGTGGATCTCCAACTGGTCTTTTTTCTTACAGCTGCAGTTGGAAGGCTCTAATGGAAAACAGATGCAGAAAACATGCCCAGCTACACAACAAAACAAACTGCTCTTCACCTACATCCTCCCATCGCTCCCCTGCAGCACACTTGGTTGCAGATCCCACCGTGCCTGCAGGAGCCATGCCAGATTACCAGTCATGTGGCTGAAATGTCCCTGGCTGCCAAGGCTGCATTAATGCTTTGTCATTGCACTTGCAGCTAACGAGGCCTAATGGTCCCTACTTCAAACTGAGTCTTTGGTGAGGGACTTCTATGCATTATTTCTTCACCAGGGCCTCTCTGACCAGTTAAGTGATAGATCTGAAAAGCTTGAGGAGGCAGGTGTGTGAGCAGAAAGCAACACACAGCTTTAGTGTTCCTAACTGAGTGGTCCTGCAGCTAGGTAATAGCATTTTATGGCTATGTATACATATTTTTAAACTACTTATTTGAAACTCAAGGCTTGTGTTTTGAGAGACAGTGGTTTCTTTTTTTTTCTGCAAATCTTATAGGTCATTGCAGTACTGTGCATGAAAAATTGTTTAATATACCAAGGACATGCTTAGTGTTTGCTGTATGTTGAAGAGAGGGTATTTTCCACCTGTCAGTAAACAGCTTTGATGAACGAATCCTGTTAGCCCACTTGTGTGTAGTATTAATAGTTCAAGGAAAAGGGAGATAATAGCTAGGGGGCTAAACCCTCGTGCTAAAAGTATACTTGGGTGTATTTGACATTGTGGTTATGTCTGTGGCCATGGTGGATAATTCCCAGAATTTTTACAAGCAGAACTGCACATTGTTTATAGGAACTAAGCCACTTAATGTAACTTTATCTGCCAGTAAGGAAGCATAAACGAACAAAAACATACTTACACTTTTCTTGTCCTTGACAGAGCTACATGCACATCTTAGAGAAGTAGATTAAATCACACACACGGCAGCAATCACAGTAATTTCTTCATTTGCATATGCAAACAGTAGTCTGTGCTGAAGGAACACTGTATTTATCAGTGGAGATAACTTTACAGACATTTCTCATGTCTTAGATGCAATATCTGCACACATATTAGAGATGAACTAATGGTTAGAGAACTTTTGTGTAGATATATCTTGTTCCTTGAAAACTTGTTCTTTGGATTATTTACAGGATTTTTCTTTTTTCTTTTTTTTCTAATTCTTATATTATCTAAAAATAATGCATTACTTTAATGTATTAAAGTAATGTATATGTAATAGGTATATGTAGTAATGCATTATCTATTACTTTACTAATAATACTTTAAAAAATACATTTGCTCCCTAGTTTAATTACCAAAGATGTTTTTTATTGTTCATCTTAGAAGATGAAGCCAAAGTAGACAAGAATTCTGCAGACTGCTGAAGGAGAAAGAACAGCTTGGAAGACTGCAATGTAAAGTACAACAATTTTTCTAGTGTTTTGTATCCTTGAATGTGGGCATGTGACTTCTGGAAAAGTCAGTCATGCTGGGAACGGTTTTGTTACTCACTTTCCAGTGATAAGCTGAGTGAACTAAGGAACTGCTTTTGGCACAAAATTCTAATGGAACTAAAATTATGTTCCAATTTTCTGCAAGACAAAAAGGGTCTTGGTTATAATATTCAGTCATGGATTTTATACCATGGCCTGGGTCTTTCACATGTCTGCAGCAGAAAACCAGCCCTCTGTGTTAGAGGGTCTATGACCATAATGGGATGTTTGCTCAGCCCCTAGGAGCTGCTCAAATGTGGTCCACAATGTATCCCTCCGTGTCTGAGGAGGAGGGTGTTTGGGAATTGTATTTGATTCACACAAGCTTGTTAATAGGCTTTTTTTTTTTTTTTTTTTTTTTTTTTTTTTTCCCATGCTTTTTTACTTCACTGTTCTCCACCCACCGGTAGATAGAACTGTATCCCTGTCTGGCTAGACAAGCGTGAGTCAGATCACTACCTTTCAGGCAGAATTGCTGGGAGGGAAATCATTCCACTGACAAAAATAGGATGCGCTGAGTGATGCACAGCTTCATCTTTCTCCTTAAAATATTAAAAGAAAGAGTCCTGATCAAATGGCCCTTATTTGGTAAAAGTGCAGCCTGTTCTGCTGGCCCTGGGATGTTTGGAAGCACTGCTTCTAGGCATGTCTGGCATTAGGAGGTATCTGGAAGATCAGATTATTTGCTCTTAATCTCTGATAAATGATGAGTCTGAACACAGTGCATGTTTACTTCCTGCTCATTCCTGAAAGGGGAATGAAAAAAAGGACAAACCAGACAGCCTGCTGCTCTTGCTGCCATTGCTGTCCGTAACACTTCCTCTCCTTATACAGTCGTTCAGCAGCAGATGGAAAATTCCTGTTCCATGAAATCAGAAAGTGGCTTTTAGTTATTTTGTGTACCTGTCCCACCTGTTACAGTCTTCCCGTAAGCTTGCTCCAGAAAAACCTATCATCTACTAAAACCCAGCACACCAAAATTTGCGGGATGTGACCTGACTCTGCTCAGTTGCATCTGGTGATTCTCTAGAGCTGCTAGCCTGCGATTATTCCCATCCCACGCAGAGGAGTAAATCAAATATAGATGACAGGCACGAGGGCACAATTTCTGACAGGGACAGTAAGCAGGGACAGGGCGGGCAGGGTCTTCCCGGCCTTGCTGCTCCTCCAACATTTCTCCCAGCAAAAGCAGACTTTGCAAGGCCAGCAGTACCTACTTCAGTGGTAGAACTGGCAGTGGATGTTTTAGAGAGAGAATTCACCCTGCTGAAAGAAAGAACATGTATCAAAGATGGGACCTTGTGGAGTGAGAAGGCACTTCTTGTGGTTGGGGAAACATACTCTTGGGTTGTTAGTGCTGTGTGAGGGTGAAGGTGTATGACAAGCTAAAATGCTGGGACTTCCCCAAGTAATCCAAAATGTCAAGTGGCAGAAAGCCACCTGAATAATTTCTGATGGTAATGTAATCCAAGGTTCTGAAAAACTTTTATTTTCTTTTGTTTGTTTGTTTGTTTTTGTTTGTTTGTTTTTTCTCTGCATGGCATTTAGTCATGTTGGTATTTGTTGTCTGTTATTTAGACACACTCTTTCTTTGAAGTCTTTCCGGTCGGGGAAGCCTAGATATCCCCGCTTCTGATTAAAGTTTAAAGGCAGGCACATTCTGACTAAGCCTCTTGAGAAGTTTCCTATCCTGCAACAAATTTTTATATTTTTATCTCTTTATGTGCTAAAACATCAGCCCCAAACACCCCAGAACTATTTGTGCAGAAGCCCACTCTGACCAGGAGTGGGTCCTCTTGGTGGTCGGTGCTGCAAAGATTTCAGCAAGATGTTTCTGTGCATTGGCCTCCTACAGCTGCCTGAAAACTCCCAGTCTGCTCTGAAGTAGATAACTACTCATGAAAACATTTACAGCAAGTGTAAGGTGAAGGTAGAAGACAAGGCTTTTCAAGTGCACTTATCATTGTTCTCATTACAAGAAGTAAAAGATAAAGATAGCTGTATCTACATTCTGCACCACTTTTTGTTTGACTTAACTGGCTACCCAACCCCTTTGAAGGCATCTTTTATCTTATTTGTATGATATGAACTGTAAATGTCTTCCATGACTTCTGAATTGTAAATCCTGCATCTATAGTATCAGAGAGATCTTACAAGTTGGGTTTTGTTTGTTTGTTTGTTTGTTTTTGTAATTGTAATTGGGCCCCTTTTCTTAGGATGCTGTCAGCTGTATGCTTAGAAATGTGCTTAAAATTAATGTGCAAAAAATGAAAATTTGCAACTGGCACACGAATAGATGAAAATTGCAAACAGAATAACTGCATACATATATTTAAGTTGGAAGTTGAAAGTAAATCTCTGAGGAAAAAAAATATGTAAGGCAGCACGAATGTTACCTTGATTTGTAAGGTCTTAGTATACTTTGGTTGGAATCACACCCCTCAGCTTCTATAGTCAAGCACATCCTCAACTTTTTAAGTTGTGATCATACTACAGAACTGAAGACTGATTCATCTTTGAAACAAAAGTCTTCCAAGGCAAAAGTCTTTTATCATATTATGAAATAGCCTTGTGATAAAATCTGTATTATTTAACCTTGGGTCCACAGCAATGTCCAGGTCATTAGTACAAGGTCTAGAAAGATTATGATAGTGAGCATGTTGTAGACTTCTTTGAAGCATTCAGTGCCTGCTGAAATGCCACAGCTCCAGCTCGGATCCTGCTGCTCCCCTTCCTTGGCTACATACACTCTGATAACAGCACCAGTGGGATTACCTTCATTTTTACTCACAGTGATGAGTGACAAAAGAAAATTGACCTGAAACAGAAGAGGTTGTAAGAGCAGCTTGTTCATCCCCTGTGTGGAGAGCGGAGCACCTGAACAGGCAGCACTGTAAATGATACCTCAGTCCTGCACAAAATTCCAGTCTCAAATTCTCTGTTTCCCTGAAGGACCCATGTCTATTTTGAAAGAGAAAAAAGTGCCTGTATGTCTTTTATTTGCTTACATATGGCAAAAAAAGAAAGCTGCAGTGAATGTTAACTGATTTAAAATTTGCTGAATAGATGTTCAACTTATGCTGTTGGATTTAATTGTACAATAAGGTCAGTGAAAATATATGCCATTATTAATACACATATATGGTCAGACTGGTCAGTAACTTCTCAGAATGTGTTAAAGAAAAATTCTTTTTCTTCTCAAGACAAAAATAGAAATAGAAAAATAAAAGAATATAGAGAAGGGGAAATTATTTGTCCCTAAATCACGACTTTGGGACATTATGGCTGGCAGTTTATTTACATATGTAATGGGTTTACGAGTCTGTATTTTCTAAAAAAATATTACAAGAAAGAGATGAATAAGTGATGACTTGTGCAACCTGACATGTTTTCCTTTTTTTAGGAACACACCGACTGCTCCAAATTTATCCAGGCCTCACATGTTCTTAGTTGTATCCCCTGACCTAATGAGAACTGTCAGTTTCTCACCCATGCACAAGCTGTATGCTTCCTTTCAAAATTTCCTAAAATACTCCTGGGTTTGTCCTGCCAGAAAATATTGGGGAATCTGACCTTTTGTGTCTTAACAGAGGAAACAGCTGCCTTACTGTCTGCAGTAAAGCTGTATGACAGACCTATTTAGACAACTCTCAGACAATTAATAATTATAAAAACTTTAAGTCTGTCTTCACTGAATAAAAATAGTTTTTATATATACTAGACTTCACAAGGCATGGGCATGTTTTCCATATAATTTTGGTATTGACTGGAAGATCCCTTTTTCCTGTCCTTCATATTCAGAACACATCTGATATCTGCCTACCATTACTGCTGTGCTCCAGCCAGGGCTAGCTAAGGGAATTGGGATGAGCTTTTGGGAACATGCATTGAGCTTCCAGGTGATTTATAGGGTCCTTACACCCATCTTCTTAAGGATGAGGGAAAGGCTGGGAAGCTGCAAACCTAGCAAATGCCTTTGGCTTATTCTTTTTGGAGGCAAAGTCTCCAGACTATGTTGTTGTTGTGGTTTTTTTTGTTTGTTTGTTTGTTTGTTTTTTAAGAGCAAAGTCATGAGTTGTGACTTATGAACAGCTGTAAATAGTGCGTGAGCATGAAACCTTGTTGCAATGAAGGAGGAAGTCAACAATACCTTTGTAAATGATTTCCAATAGAGAATCAAAGAACTGGCCACTAGAAAACTTGTCTAATATCTGCGGAATGAGTGCCCTGGTATAAACAGATACTTACTATCTTGTCCACAGACACTGAAGTGTCCATGTACTGTCATGGACAGTCTGAGAGACTACAGTATGGCAGCATATTTTCAACTACTTGCTGTACTGTAGTCTATGAAATAGGAGAGAATACATCAGTACTGTTGCAACCAGCAGAGCATCTGAACTCTGCAAAGCCCTTTCCTTGATGGCTTGTATCAAAGTAAAGTCTGTTGTGTGACATACCCTGCATACTTCACAGGGTCTGACGTAAGGCTAGGGAGGGGAAGAGTGAAGGCAGGATCATGGCTCTTGTGAAGCCTTTAAGGTCAGAGCATGTACATTCAACAGTCTGTTTCTTCACTGTGTGAGATTACTTTCCCTCCTGGGAAGCATAGAGTCTCTGTGCTTTATTAATACTCATTGTACCAATTATCAGTGTCTCCACAAAGTGGTCAGTGAAGAGCCACAGCGACATTTAGGTTGTACTGGGGTGAGTCCTCCTGGGTTTCAGTACCACTGAATTTGGCCGCAGCTGGTAAGAATATGGTGCAGCAGCCCTGGGACACGAATTGCACTTGTCCCTCGGTTACATGCTCTCCTATTCTCAGACAGGAAATTACTATGCTTTTCTTTGTAATAAAGACAGACTTTCCCTCCCCAGATTCTTCAAAGACAGGTAGGTGTACTTCTGTTACTTAAAATATTCTTGTGGTTTGATGCTTGATAGAGAAATCGGGGTGCCTGCCAGAGATATTATCTCTTAAGTGGTAGATGTGTTTTTCACCACCTTTCTCCAGATGTCAAATGAAATAAAATACTAAGATGGATTTTCTGCATAGGGACAGATAAAAGAACAGACCTTTCCCATGGTTAAAGAGGCACTGTGGAGGTATATTAAGGTGGTAAAGGTCAGGGAGAAACTAACAGGAAGCAGCAGGAGATAGAAGTGCATACATTCACGTTGGATATATATGTGGACATCAGGAGGGAGGACATTGCCATTCTGAATGCAAGGAGGCAGTAGTCTAATCATATATGAGAGAGGAGGCAGTGATCTATGTCGTGTTCTGTGTTGACCATTTACTGTACATTGCATGAGCAAGAGCTCATTGGTCCTCTGTCTTAGAGTCTTTCTTGCAATGTGGGGATTACCGTCATCAACACAACAGACCCCAGACAAAAATGTATTTAAGTTACTCTTACAATACCTTGGGAAATTCTACTTAAAATGTGCTGTGAAGAGGTAAAAAAATAAATAAATAAATAAATAAATAAAGGAACATTTGAGTAACAGGAGATTTCAAAAGCCAAGCCTGCTATTAAAATTCCTCTGAAGGCGATTTTATTTGTAAGGATAAAGATTCTATACAGTAACTCAATTATCCTGTACTTCAAGAAAGTTTGGAGGTGGCTCAGAACAGAGAATTGGCATCTCATTAAAAAGAAAGAAAAAAGGAAAAAGGAAAGGAAAGGAAAGGAAAGGAAAGGAAAGGAAAGGAAAGGAAAGGAAAGGAAAGGAAAGGAAAGGAAAGGAAAGGAAAGGAAGGAAAGGAAAGGAAAGGAAAGGAAAGGAAAGGAAAGGAAAGGAAAGGAAAGGAAAGGAAAGGAAAGGAAAGGAAAGGAAAGGAAAGGAAAGGAAAGGAAAGGAAAGGAAAAGGTATCAAAACTGTGAATGATTTTTTAAAGGTCTATTTAATTATCTTCGGCATATGCTTTACATATTTAATTTTATATAAGTTTCTTCTCATTTATGCAGTACCTGTAAAGCTGCACAATCACTGGTTAAAGCCAAAGATTTAAAAGCACAGATTGTTGTTTTTTACACCACAGCAATAGCTCCAAGTCTAGCAAACAAGTGCTGTAATTGGCATTGATGCTTTTAGTATGGTGTCACAGTAGCAGTTGTTTCTCTGTGCCACTGCTGTAGAATCTAATCAGGAATTAAGTTATCCATAGATACCATACTCCAAAGGAAATAAAAGTGTAGCAAAAAAAATATATATAAAAAAAAAAATTACACATTTTTGCTTTTCTCTGTAATGCAGTATTCAGCAGCTTTGCTTTGAAGGGTTTCCCAGCTCTCAGACACTCCCTTTACCCCATCCTCATCCAACTTCATGAAAATGTCTTCTGGTTTAAGACCAAATAGAAAACCTAAAATTACTTTTTTTTTTTTTTGTATTTTTTTGTCCCATTTTAGTGGGTGATCAGCAACTTTTTGTATACCTCCTGCAAAAATATCATACATTTCTCATGTCTTCTGAAATCCTACATGGCAATAGATAGGCATATTTCTTCTCCTTATTAAGACACTGTAAATGTTTCTTTACCCTTTGTTATCATAGAAGGTACAATAAGGTTAAGTAATTCTGTGTTAAGTGCAATGTACATTTCAATTTATGAGATAGGCAGTAGTTCATTAACATTCTACTCAGAGGCTGAAGTTCTTCTTTCTATAGTTACTGTTTGGAACAAGATCTTTTACAGAGTGCAGTACTACTGTTTTGGCAATTTATTTACAAAATACAGTTGACTAACAAAGATAAAAGTGTTTTTAATGCTAATTCCTGTAAAACTGAATCAGGAGATGGGTGACTCAAGATAGAATCCTAGAATATCCTGAGTTGGAAGGGATCACAAGATTCATAGAGTCCAACTCCTGGCTCCTCATAGGACCACCCAAAAATCAGACCATGTGTCTGAGAGCATTGTCTAAACAGTTCTTGAACTCCAGCAGGCTCAGTGCTGTGACCATGTCCCAGTGCCCGACCACGTCTGGGTGCAGAACCTTTCCCTAACCCCCAGCCTGACCCTCCCCTGCCCCAGCTCCATGCCGTTCCCTCGGGTCTAGTCACTGTCCCCAGAGAGCAGAGATCAGTGCCTGCCCCTCTGCTCCCACTGGGGCAGAGATGGATAGAAGCTGTATTCTTTCTTCTATATGTTGAACTTCTACATGTTGAACTCCAGCATTGATCACAGCTATGAATCAAGCTGTCTACAAGTACATTCTGCAATAAACACACACATTTGAAGATAGTAAACAGCCAAGTACAAGAAGGAAGACAGTCCAGTTTATGTCAATGGGTAACTTTACACCTTAACAATTTAGGAAGTTTTCTCTCCTGTGCTGTTATAGCCCATTCTTATCTAAGGGAGTTTATCACTGGTTTTACAAGCCATGTAATGAGGACATGGGGTGGCTGTTAACAGCCTTCGCCCCAGTACTGGATTTTATCTGCCTAATCACACTAGATAAAGAAAGCCATTTGTATGTTTGATTTGTGAAATACTTTATTGGTTACAACTGTGTTGCCTAGAGATGTTAAACAGTGTAAGGGAGCAAGATTTTTATTTAAGTGTATGGTGCAATAATTAAGTGTGATCTAAGTCCAATGATTTAAATGAATTTTGGTTAGGACTGTACAATTGTTTGACAAAGGTCAAACTGAGATTTAGTGCAGAAAAGGCTGCTAATTCAGGAGCTTTTGGCTACTGAATCTGCACTGAGTTTACCAGGGATTTGTGCCTCTCAGGTCTGTGAGAAAATTTTATAATCAGGTTTATGTACAGGACTGTGTTATAGAACACTGATAAGTTGTATTTTCTCCTAGACATGCAATGTTCACACACATCTTAAAATCAATCTCCTTCCTGAAGTGTGTCTCCTTTGGCTTTTGCTGGAAGGATCCCTTAAAGCACTGCTCTGGGAATTACAGGAGTGGGATTCAGTTCTTTGTTTTCCTTCAGCTGTCTTTGCAAACTTCAGCATCTCTTTTCCTCATTTGTCACATCCAAAAGGTGGAGATCATACCATATCCTGGTTATGAATAAACAAACTAGGCTTCACTTGTCCTCTGCAACATTGGAACAGAAATGTACTCATACCTGGGTAGA